TTTACATGTTAAAACCACTCTGTTAATCATCAACAGCTGCTTAAAAAAACACACACCAAAACACTAGAACAATTAAAGCAGAACTAAACTCAATAATTTGTTTCACCAAACAGTAAGGCTGGCCATACATTTTCTTGTACAATTTTTTTTAGATACACTATATTGCCAAAAGTATTTGGACACCTCTCCAAATCATTGGATTCAGGTGTTCCAATCACTTCCATGGCCACAGGTGTATAAAATCAAGCACCTAGGCATGCAGACTGCTTCTACAAACATTTGTGAAAGAATGGGTCGTTCTCAGGAGCTCAGTGAACTCAAGCATGGTACCGTGATAGGTTGTCACCTGTGCAGTATAGCCGGCCATGCATGGGATCTTTTTCTAAGAATTTTCCATCGAATTTCGCACCATTAGTGGGTAACAGAAATGGTCGATTTTCGTGTGACTATCGAATTTGAATGATCGGGCATGTTGTAAATTTTTTGAAAAACGAACAAATTTTGAATCGATGATGGGAGAAATCGCACAAGAAATATAAGGCTGTGACCTGGAAAGGAAAGAAAATTCTTGGCCACAAAAATTCTTTTCTGTAGCAACATGAGGAGAAATTGGAGGCTTGGTTGGTTGAATTTCGTGGCACCATCGCATTACAAAATGCACAAAATTTCCTATTTTCTAAAGAAAATGCTTTCAGAATTCGACCCGTGTATGGCCTGCAGATGTCCATCCATGAAATGTCCTTGCTACTAAGTATTCCACGGTCAACTGTTAGTGGAATCAGAACAAAGTGGAAGCAACTGAGAACAGCAGCAACTCAGCCATGAAGTGGTAGGCCACGTAAAATGACAGAGCGGGGTCAGCACATGCTGAAGCGCACAGTGCGCTGAAATCGCCAACTGTCTGCAGAGTCAATAGATAAAGACCTCCAAACTTCATGTGGTCTTCAGATTAGCACAACAACAGTGCATCGAGAGCTTCATGGAATGGGTTTCCATGGCCGAGCAGCTGCATCCAAGCCTTACATCACCAACTGCAATGCAAAGCGCCCAACGCAGTGGTGTAAAGCACGCTGCCACTGGCCTCTAGAGCACTGGGATGACAAAGCACGCTTCTCTGTCTAGCAATCTGATGGATGTGTCTGGGTTTGGCAGTTGCCAGGAGAACGGTACTTGCCTGACTGCATTGTGCCAAGTGTAAAGTTTGGTGGAGGAGGGGATTATGGTGTAGGGTTGTTTTTCAGGGGTTGGGCTTGGCCTCTTAGTTCCAGTGAAGGGAACTCTTAAGGCGTCAGCATACCAAGACATTTTGGACAATTTAATACTCCCAACTTTGTGGGAATAGTTTGGGGATGGCCTCTTCCTGTTCCAACATGAATGTGCACCAGTGCACAAAGCAAGGTCCATAAAGACATGGATTAACGAATTTGGGATGCAGTAACTTAACTGGCCTACACAGAGTCCTGACCTCAACCCGACAGAACACCTTTGGGATGAATTATAGTGGAGACTGCGAGCCGAGCCAGGCCTTCTTGTCTGACATCAGTGCCTGACCTCACAAATGCTCTTCTGGAAGAATGGTCAAACATTCCCATAGACACTCTCCTAAACCTTGTGGACAGCCTTCCCAGAAGAGCTGAAGCTGGTATAGATGCAAAGGGTGGGCCAACTCAATATTGAACACTATGGACTAAGACTGGGATGCCATTAAAGTATGTGTGCATGTAAAGGCAGGCGTCCCAATACTTTTGGCAATACAGTGTATACCAAAACCATATAACATGAGGTCAAATGTAAACACTTTCAATTTGTATGCAATCAGAAAGGCCCTTGAACTACATAGTTGAAGGTAAATCTAAAGGAAATTGAAGAAGAAAAGTGTATAATGTATGACCATCTTTACATTACAAGGCTTGCCTCTAGTGACACTAGAGCTGTAACAATTGCCAGTGTGCCTATGTCAATTCTCAAATAACTTTTAAGCCCTCAAATGGCTGGTGTCAAAGCTGATCACATGTGCAGCATCATGGTACCTGTAGATCTAAACAGAAGCTGAGAAGCTCTCAGTAATGAAATGCATTTTTTCTGCTTTTTATACAAAGAAAAGAAACATCAGATGTTTGGCTCTCCTCTGAAATAGGCATTAGAAAATCCATTTACACTATAAAATGCACAGCTATTTCCAGTACAATGAGTTCTCACCAGGCTACACAACACTAGTCACAGGAAGTAGATGTCCCACTATTTCTAAAATACAGTCTGCCATAACCACCTAAAACTCATTGGATGGCTGAGGTGCTTTCTATTGGCCAATGCTGACACATTGTATCTATGAAAAAATTAAAAATGTTGAAAAAAAAAAAAAAACCCCCGCTCAACCCGTTTTTCAATCCTATTGCATCTATTAATCTGTTGCAATTCAATCACATATTGCAAATGATCTAGAATTGTAGTGCTAATGTCATACCAGAATTTTTCATACAGACGAACCAAGCATACTGTCACACACCAACGCGCTAATGTAATAAACTCAAGCTATGTTTTAGTATTTGCAACTGAAAGGGAACAAAAAATAACTTCATGAAATTGCAAATCCTATGCTGAAATTGAGCTGAAGTTGCAATATTGTAACAGATAGTCACAAAAAATAGATAGCCACATTGCAGTATAAAGTAGAGCAGCACAAGAAGGAATAGTTTGTGACTAAAGGACACATAAGGTTTACTTTAAGTAGTTTGTGCCTAGCCATCTGTTGCAAAGCCAGAATGACAGTGTAAGGGCTCATGTACACTGCAGCTGATAAAGTCACATACAGGAGCTCTTCAGAGTTTTTTTCAGCAGCCCCTGAACTCTCCCTAATGTTTTCCTATGTGTCCATGTACACTATGTCATTTACAGGCAGTTGAGTTTACCAGCGTTTCAAACTCCAAATGCTTGTAAACGCAATTAACTGTTCCATGTCCAGATGCTGTCCAGAGCCTCTTTTCATCATCAGAAATGCATGCAAAGTGTTTTCCATGTATTAAAATGGACCTAGCACACCAGTGCAGTCAGTTACAGGTTTTGCGTGAAGGAACAAATGGTAGAATGTGCTTCATTATGCTCATAATGGGATCCATAGTGAATACAACCAGAAAAGACAGGTCATCTCAACATATACTGCTCTCTCTGCTTCTTCTCTCTCCATTTCTCTCAAAATTTCTAAAATAGTTAATTTTTTACTGTTTTTCAGTGCATTCTGGGCATTTGGAAGGTCTCCTGAGGTTATCTTTTAAAAGCACTTCTAAAGCAAAAGCACACAAACGCGGTATGCATACGCAGCAGCGTCAGTTTCCATCATTCAGAAGAGTTTTCTAAACACCCCATGTACATGAGCCCTTACTCTTTTGCAGCTTGATTCACAAATATAGATTTGTCCTCACCTCCCACTATAGGAAATCCATCAGGGAAGTGCAATACAAGCATTTGGTGTTGTAACTGCAACAATACTAAAAAAGGAGCTGGAAATTGTGAAGATCTTTTTTTCTAATAATACAAAAAGTATATGCAGCTTCAACTGCTTGCAACCATGCAAAACCAAAAAATAGCAGTTTTGCAGATGTCTATTAAAGCAGAGGAAACACCATTGACTACATGTGCCCCAGTGGTCAGTACACTCTGCACTGTACATTACATGCTTTAAATTTGTGTATCAGTGTTTCTTTACCAAACTCAGGGCTGTCAAGGACTACTAATTTTTATGCAATGTAGAATACATCAACAAGACCTGCAGTGACTTAAAGAATAACTCCTCTTTTGTTAAGAAAAAAAAATACACTCTAGGTGATCAACATACATTGGAAGGATTTCAACAAACATGGTTGCAGATTTCTACCAGTTTCTGCTCTGAAAGCATAGATGTTTGAGCATGTCCTCTGGAAACTGATTCTGCATAATAGGGCCTGGGTTCATTATAATCACCTGGTGCACCCAGTGTTCTTCTGAAAAAAAAAATGTTGCAGTGTCTGCATCCCTATAGAAATATTTAACCCAAAGGGAATATCTGACTTGCACCTCAGTGCAGTGAGCCAAACAAACAAAGCAGTAAATTACACTTACAATATGGCTTGTGTAGCAACTGTATATGCTATATAGGTTTTATTTTTTGCCAAGAAAGTAGAGTTACCCTTTAATGATCCTAGCACATTAAAGTGCTACTAAACCCACAACAGTAAAATCAGTCTGTATATGCAGTAAAGCATGCTTGTTATACTCACTGTGGAACCTAAGGGGTTAATCCTCTGCATTATGTAAAAATGTAGTTTGATCCTGACTTCTCTGATCCTCCCCTTCTTCCAGTGTCCCCCCCTCTTATCTCCTGAAAAGACATATTGTGTGGAGTCACTCTGCACATGCTCACTTTGCTACTTTGCTGTGTATTGTTAGAGAGGTTTTTTTTTTTTTTTTTTTTTTTTCTTGGGAGAGTGCATGTGATCAGCATGGGACCAATCAGCACTGTCTAGACAGAGGTCAGGGGTCCTGCATCCTCCTAGAGGAGAATGAAAACTCCTCCGACAAGCTTTAACATGTACTCTACTGGGCACGGATTGAAGTCACAAGGCCGCTCTAACTGCTGATGAGAAAAGGTATTTAGCAGTTTATACTTACTAAAATAATTGCATTTCCATGTTGTGTGTACTGTGAGAGACCAGATGGAGTGAATGCAGGGTCCTGGGTTTAGTAACACTTTAAGAATATTGGAACCTGCTGGCAGGAATAAAGTTCTAGGACCTTTACATACAACAACAGCAGCTTTCTTTATCCTCTACCACCAGGCTGCATTACTTCCATGCAGCATTAGAGCGCCATTCCTATTGGTCTGACCAAAAGGAATGTGTGGAGGGTAGAAGCATGTGGAGGAAGTGTTTGGTATGGGATGACCACAGGGCCGCAAGTTCTTCAGTCGATACATGTCTGATGTATTTCATAAAACACAAAAGATAAGAAAAAAAGTTTCCACATACTTTTGGATAATCCAGTTCAAAAAAGGTTTCTAAATTGTTGATGAGATTAGGATCCACACCCTTTAATGGTTTAAGAAGGGAAACCCCAGGAAGCTTGCTGTAAGGTTGCTTGTCAGATGCCTTCTTGTTAAGGTGTAGTCTCCTGTAATGATAGGAAAAAAAAAACAGAAGAATGAATTCAGAATCAGTAGTTATAACAGTGTCATTTTTATCTTTGTCAATAGGGATTTATACTCCTTGTCAGAGCACTATCTAAGCACTGAACATACTGCAGATACAGGACCAAATGGCACCAACAGCACTTCTGTAATGAAGCTATAAATATCAAACACAACAACACAGGCGGCAAGACAGTGAGCAGCAGGTGTAATGGTTAGAGCATTGGTATTATGGCCAGCACTTTGATAGATTACACTTGCAGCATGATACTGTACATAACGAAATCAAGAGCAGATACGTCTAGAAAATTACATCTACAGAGTGCAATGGAAGGGTCATTTAAACATATTAAAAATTACAAAATGGCTTCTGTTGTAATTGCTGTGAGGTTTTTTTTTTTATGAAAGTTGAGGTTCCCTTTAAGGAAGAAATGCATCATGGAGTTTGAACAACTCATATGGCTTTGTTGTACAATAAGAGAATCTTAAGTTCAATAACATAAAACACTGATGAATCCCATCATCTATCCAGTAAAACACAACATTAAACATTTCTAATGATACATTCTAGGCAGATATAAAGGATACACATTAATACAGCTGTGTAATCATTAATAAATCAGTTAATGCAGCTCTGTAATCATTAATACAGCAGTAAATGTATTTTTTAAATGCAATCAGAGCAAGTACCTGAAACTGACCTGGTACCAGCCTCTTGCAATTCCTGTAAATTAGAGCTGGGAGTGTGAGGAAGAAGCAGCATAGGGAGCCATTCAGGGTCATCTGATGACAAGAAGCATGATGATCGGAAAAGAAGGGAGAGAGACAGAGACATGGGCCTATCACTGTATTACTTCACCTTTCACTGTCCAATCACAGGCTGGGGGCAGATCCCAAGATGACAAGAAGCATGATGATAGGAAAAGAAGGGAGAGAGACAGAGACATGGGCCTATCACTGTATTACTTCACCTTTCACTGTCCAATCACAGGCTGGGGGCAGATCCCAAGATGACAAGAAGCATGATGATAGGAAAAGAAGGGAGAGTGACAGAGACATGAGCCTGTCACTGTACTACTTCACCTTTCACTGTCCAATCACAGGCTGAGGGCAGATCCCGTTCAAAGGAAGTGGGTTGAATGATCCTGTTTATCCCCTCTCTTCCTGTCTCATAACAGGGGGATTTTATGCTTGTCACCAAAACTGGTGTCCCCATTGAAAGATTTTCCCGTTATTGTTCTGGGGACAACCTCCAATGTGTGACTCTTTCACAAAGAGAAGGTGAATCTCCCTAACCAGGGCACAGTCAGCAATAACATACAGGTATTATAATCTCTCTCCAGTATAGCTAAAATTTTGCTTTTAGCTATACTTTAAAATTATTTCTGCATGATGTATCATTTAATGTAGGAGGGGAAAAGTCCTCTTTACCTATTCTTAAGTTCCAAAGAGTTTAAGGCCTCAGGCACACAGGACACCAAAAACGCCACTTGTAAGGGTGTTTGACGGTTTTTATTTTTTGGGGTTTTTGCTGCCTCTACACACCCCTCTATGTTAGCCTATGTGTCCTTGTACAAAATCTTTTACAGGAGTTTAGAAGCAGGGGAAAAAGACGAAAAATAAAAAAGAGCCAGCACACTTAAGAGCGTTTTGCCACAAAAATCTGTCCGAAGCACCTAAAGCTTTAATTAATTCCAACATCCACAATATTATTTTAATGGAATGAATGAACACCCAAATGCTGGATGAGACTAAATCTGTTGTCAAAACACAACTTTAAGAGCATTCTTAACACTGCTTTTACCTCCCCTAGAGCATAGGCATTGGGGGGGGGGGGGGGGGGGAACTTCCTGGTTTACATGAGGCCTAACTGATTAGATGTAAAGTAAAAAAAAATTAATAGAACTAAAAATCAGGTGGCATCTATTTACATTTTTTGAATACCTAGTTACATTTAAATAAAATGGTACAGTAGCGGTAAAGAAGCCTAAACATAACTAATACTTTGTATTAGGTTATAAAATTAATAAATGCCAATAGTGGTAGCAACATGGTGAGGTTTTCTTTTCCTCCTTCTCTTCTCCACCCACACAGAAAAAAAAAACAAGGCATATCATTTTAAAGTAGGTCAAGAGGCCACAAAATGAACTAGAAAAAAAACCAAAAAGACCAAAAACACTTTCATTTGTAATATACAGTGCAAATTTACAGTAAATAACTACCTTACAAGTAAAAACCAAGTAATGCGTTTGGATCCATACACTTCAAGGCTAATCAATATTTTCCTATTAAACCCAACTTCACATACAGTGTGCTTGACTTTTTTTTTTTTTTAATCAAAGTGCAACACAATTAATTTTCAGTTGTCTCTTCATCTGTCTAAACTTTATTGTGTGAAGGACCGGTACGATTTTGGTGCCCCCCTCACCCTGGCGGCAGCCCACCAAGTCCAATACTTACCTATGTTCCCATTTCAGCAATCTTCATTGTGTAGTCCTGCCCGCATCCAAACAGCCTTTCTTCAGAAAGTACCCATGGCCCGATTCATTCCTATGAGGCGCTATACTCATGGTGGAAGCCTCCAGAAGTCCTTCTGAGTACAGCACTCCTCTCACAAAAATGAATAGGACCACATCAAGCATGAGCAGAATGGTTTCAAAAGAAAGATTGTACAGTTTAAGGCATAGTCGCACAGTGGAGATTAGATGTTCGATTCAACTACCTGCCTGGAGTTTGCATGTTCTCCACGTGCCTGTATGGGTTTCCTTCAGGTACTCCTGTTTCCTCCAACACTCCAAAGACATGCTCGTAGGTTAATTGGTTCCTGTATAAAATTGGTCCTAGTATGTGTATGAGTTATGGACCTAAAATTGTTCCTTGAGGGCAGGGACTGATGTGTGTGTGTAAATTAACAGCGCTATACAAATACCTATAATAAATAAATGTTTTAAACACTTTTTTAATATATATTTAAAAAATAATTAAATGTATTTTAAAAAGCAACTGTTGTATGTACTTGAATTTAACTTAGCATTTTCAGCTCTTTGCGATCCCCCTGTACAGCAGAGCTCAGACAGAGATGAGAAGCAGGAGGAACCAGACATTACTGCAGGAACCTGATAATAGCAAAACAGAGCAGATAAATGAGCTTATCAGTCTGCTGCTTCTCTTTCAATGTCCAGTTACATGTTTGGGGGCAGGGACAATGGCTGGATGTATTACAAGACAGCAGTAGAAAATTGTCAGATCTTCAGGCTGTGCAGTGTGACAGGGCTATGTAAAATTTTGGAATAAACGGCAAATCATTGGGCAGTTAAAACAATTCCCTAAAATAGATTTTATCGTTTGCCTGAAGTTCAACTTTATTGCAGTCAAAATCTGGCCAAGAGACACAACTGTCACAGTCCACTCTGCCACACAGAAGAACTTAAAACTTTCTAGCTGTTAATGTGCCTGCTTAACCAAGGACTGGAATGATCAGAAACTCTATTAAGAAAACTGCCTTTGCTAGTGACTGCTAGTCCCATGATAACACACTAGTAATTGCCTTGAGCCTTCATGTGAGAACTCACTGAACATCAGCAGAATGAGGCAATTAAAAAAAGCACTACTAGAGGAAGCAAATGCCTAGAGCTAGAACTGTATCGCTAATGGCAGGTGCTGCATAGAGAAACAAAGCTCCATGACAAAGATCTATTGCACTTCACATTACATATTTACCTTTACTTGATAAAGATCTATGGGTTATAAAGCAGCTAACTCAGGAGCAACCACCATCCCTAAGCAGCTCAAATGACAAAATGTAATGACTTCTACGAAAGAGAAAGTGGTCATTTAAACAAGATTTGAGCACTGCAGAAGTCTGCTGATTGGGCGATGGGTTAAAGCAGAACTCCAGTAAGGCCTGGTTCACACCTATGCATGTTCCAATCTGCTGCGAGAAACAAAATGTCCCTGACCCCATTCAAAAACACAGTGGCTGAAAATGCACAGATGTGAACATGTCCCATAGGAAACCATGTTTAATGGACTGTAGTAAGTTTCTGAAAAACGCAAAAAGCACTGAAAAATGCATAGGTTTGAACCAGGCCAAAAAGTTTTTTTTGTCCATAGAGCACCAGCCACATAATTTACCACTAATAAAGTGTAATCCATGTTCTGCTGGTTACTATGATAATTCTCCTTCCACTGACCCTGATAATTCTCCTTCCATTGACCCTGGATACACAACACAGTGGTGATCATCCGATGCTGCAGGAGTTAACAGCTGGGGAATCAGCACCTCACCTTCCCATTCTGGTCTCATCATCCATTCACAAAACTCCTAACATTCCTCTCCCAGAATGCAAGATGTTCTATGAAGGGGAGAAACCTGTCATTCATCCACCCCTCTTCTTCCAATACACAATAAATTTACTGAATGATTCAAGAGTAAAGATTATGCCAATGGGCAACACCACCCAGTTCTTTCAGGGGAATAATTTCCAAGAAGCTGGATGGAAAAAATTCAAACAGTGACTGCAGCTAATCAGATGGAGATACTCTTCCATATTCTGACACCTGTAGGCTGTCAGGATACAATAGGTGACAGAGGGAGATTAGGCTTTTAACTTAGAAGGGAAATCTATGCATTTTGCTTTTTTAGCCCCCTGGGGTGTTTATGACCAGCTTTACTCAAGTGAACAATCTCACCTTCTTAAGACAACCCCGTTCGCTTTAATACCTTACAAGTTACAGACATGGAAAAAGAAAGCAGCAAGTAAAGCCCAAACTCTAGCTCTGCATGTCTGCTCCAGTTCATGAACTTAGAAAGTACTAAAGTTACTGAATTAACCAGTCAGGCTCCTAGCATTTATTTCAAAAAGGGGACAGTCCACATTTTGTTTAGCATTTTGTGTGGCATTTTGTTTAGCATTTTGTGTGCAGCCCACATTTTGTTTAGCTTGGGCTCCCTGATCAATAAAGAACCCTGGTGCTATAAAGC